TTTTTCAAGGGGATTAATTGTCTCCATTGCCTTTTACCATCTCAATGATACCTCTTACTCATATCCCAAATAAAACAAACCTTGGATATGACCTGTCAAAACAAAATGGAAAAATATCCCACCTAGATGTTCAAGGCTCTGAAAATGAGTTTTCTTTGATTCATTTTTCTTGATGCTCAACCATTAAGGAGATGATCTGCCAGCTGTGGTTAGCTAGCCAGATGTTGCAGGGCAGGCAAAGTTTAGGGTATCTTTTCTAAACCCCTCCCTCATGCGAGGGGGGGCAGTGCTATCCTAGAAGGGCTGCCCAATTACCTCTGCTGCCCCAGGTACTGAGATGAATGACCACTGGTCCAAGGGCTGCCCACGTGCACGTTTGTGACTACAATTGCCAGTGGTCATCTCCACCTGTTGCTTTGCCACTCCCCCATTGCCACAGGGCTCAACAAATTAGGTTTGGACTGAGATGATTTGCAGATGAGTTGTAGATGAAGATGAATTCTAAAACAGAAACGTGTGTGTGATGGAGTTTTAAGTGGAACTTCTGTTGCATAGGGGCAGTCCCACTCTCTCAGCATAAGAGACCTTAATCTAGTGGCACAGAGAACCATGACAGCTGGAGATCTCTCCTGCTGCAGTGGATGAACAGGACGTCTAAGTGTCTAGTTGTGCTCTTAGCGCTCTACAATGCCCTATCTCACTGGGAGTCAAAGATCCATTGGCTACCCTCATCTGGTTTGGCCCATCTGCTGGATGGTTTATGGGGGTATGGCCGCTGTGTGTGTTACAGCTACTTGGAGCCACAGGTGAGAGCTGAGCACCAGGTGGGGACCAAAGGTGAACAAGCAGCCCTAGAAAGGGCATGTCAGGGCCCCTCACCAGATGTTACCCCTCATTGACAAGGTGTCAAGGCCTGAAAGATGAACAGCACTCATAGCAGCCAAATTTCACCATTATACCACTGACATTGCTGCACTCAGTGAAACCAGGCTGACAGACAAGGGTTCATTACAGGAAGCACCAACTGGATATATGTTCTTTTGGAAAGGGAAACCACAGACTGATAACAGGACTCATGGAGTAGGTTTTGCTATCAAAACTACTCTGCTGAAGAACATATCTACTCTACCCCCTGGAATAAATGAAGTTCCACTTTCCTCTCAGCAAGTCCTGGTATATCACCATTGTCAGTGCCTACACACCAACTGTCATGATTCCAGGCAAAGACAAGGAAGGTTTCTACAGAGACCTGGGTTGACTCCTGGATCAGCAAGGCCAGCCAGGCGCTGGGGCAGCTGCGTACTAGAGTGCTTAATCAACACAACATCTGTATCTCCACAAAACTGAAAGTCTACAGAGCTGTGGTTATGCCTTCTCTCCTATATGGATGTAAGTCCTGGACCCTGTACCAAAGACACATCAAACAACTGGAGAAATTTCACATTTGTTCTTCACTCCATTCTCAGCATTTGTTGCCAAGACCATGTCTCCAACCTGGAGATCTTGGATCATGTGAAGTCCACCAGCATTGAGTCTCTGATTATTAGAGTCTAGATGTGGTGGATGGGACACATCATCAGAATGGATGACCACCGTATGCCTCGCCAGTTGCTCTATAGTGTACTGGAGTCTGGGAAGCTTGAGGTCGACCATGCAAGCGCTATAAAGATATTATGAAAGAAACCTTGTGCCACTGTGACATCCAGCCAAGGAACTAGAAGCTGTGGCTGCTGACAGAATCCACTGGCAAGCCCTTTGCTATGAAGACTCCACCGGCTTTGAAGACAGGCACTGCCAAAAATTGATAGAAAACCATGAGCGGCATCACAGAATAACACCTATGGTTACCACAAGAATGGACTTCCAGTGCCCCCATTGTGGTAGACTCTGCATTTCTAGACTGGATTGCAGAGCCACCTCTATGTCCACAGATGAACTGTACAACAGTATACCCTGTTCAAAGCTGAAAGACTACCATATACATATGGATGAATTGAAGCTACATGGAAAATCAAAAACTGAAAATGGACTTTTTCTTAATAATGTAAGTAATGGTATCAAAATGGAATTGAGATTTCACAATTGTGTGATGCTCAGCACAAAGAAAGGAAAGCATGAACAAAATGAAGGTATACAGTTCCAAAATGGGAATCTCGCAAAATCTTTGCCTATAGAGGAAACTACAACTATCTAGGACTATTCAGATAACATCTTACATGGTAAAGTAAAGTAAAGAAAAAGAAAAAGAAAAAGAAAACGAATTTAGAATATTTAAAACAAGTGTGAATAATTCTAAATCCAAAGTTAAATAGCAGAAATGTAATCCAATCCATAAACATGTGGCATTACTAGTAATCAAATATACTGCTGGTATAGTAAACTGGACCCAGTTTGAACTGGGTAATTTAGATTGGAAAATCCAGAAACCAATGACAATGCATCATGAATTATATTCACAAAATGATGTTGATTGACTATATTTAGCACAAAACATTGGAGGCTGTGATTTACTGCAGATAAGCAGACCACTGAAGGAAAAAAAAAAATTAAATGATTATAGCAAAGCAAGGAAAGAGAAAATGCTCATCACAGTTTGCAAAAAAAAAAAAAAAACCCTAAAAGTAGCAGAAGGAAAAAATAACCATAAGGGTGAATTGTTGGAAACTATTTAGAAAATTGGAGATGAAACCATTCATGGCCAATACATAAAAGAAACTGAAAATAAAGATGACAAGACCAGGAATTGGCAATAGTTACAGGCTGACACCATCAAGAAGGATATTTTTTTTTCAGTTTAATAAGAGGCATTACAAAACACAAGGTGAAATCAAAGATTCAACATGTGTGAAACAGCAGCAAATGTAGCCTTTGCAAAGAAAAAAATGAAACTGTGGATCAAGTAATTAGTTGATGCAACAAAATTGCTCAGACTGACTAGAAACAACATCACAACAGAGTAGTCACTATGAAGCACTGGCGTCTGTGCAAAAATAATTTCTGAATTTCCTGAATGTGGCATAATCCCAACATGGAAAAAGTTGTTGAAATGATATTATAATTTTATGGGATTTTTGAATAAAAAATTATCACTATCTAGAACACAACACATCAAATATAACGATAACTGAAAAGGAAAGAGTAATTTTTTTACTGGTTTGAGGACAAAGAATGGAAAAAAGTTATAAAATATAAAGACCAAACAATCGAAATGGGAAGATTATGGGAAAGAGCTTGCAAAATAATTCCTATAGCTATTGGTGTAGTAGCCAGAATTACGAACAAATTAAAGACATTTTTACAAGAACTAAAAATTTTGGCTATATCAATTGTGGATTTACAAAGAGAGAGAGAGAGAGAGAAAGAGAGAGAGAGAGCCCAACACCAACATCTTATGACGTTACTAGAATTTCTAATCAACACCAGTCAATATGTGATGAAGTGTGTTTGTTCTTTGTACTCTGTTATTCCTTGATGAATAAAAGCATAACAACAACAATAGGATCATGTGCTGAAAAAGTTGCAAAAACAAGATCAAAATTTTGTAGGATTTCAAAATTCAAACTGATAGGTACTTAGGATATAAAATACACCAGTCATTACCATTATAGAAAAGAAGATGGTGTGGTTCATTGTTGTGGCAATATCTGGAGACAACTGAATTGATGAAAAACAATTGGAGAAAATAGCAAGTTATCATGATTCAAAGATTGGGATTGGAAGATAATAAAGGGAAAAAATTGATTGTCTAATCAATTGTAGTTTGAGCTCTTGGTGCAATAACAAGAGGATTCACCAAATATTTAGAATTTTCAAATTTACTGGATTTAACGCCACTAATTTTGCAAAAGACAACCATACTAGGAATAGCATATCTTTACAGTAATACTTCCATGATTTTTAGGTCCTTGGCCAGGACCCAAATCATTGGATAAAACACCCAGATTGTGATATTCATTTGGATGCAACAATAACAACACTTTCTACCCCAGTGGGGCAGCTTCTATTACTTTTATTCAGGGCCATGGAGAGGGAATGCATGTTGCCATAAAAATATGGCAACAGCCACAGATGGTCATGGCATTTTTGTAGAAGAAACCATTTCTCTCCCACAATGCCCAAGAATTAACTTCTAAGGCTCTGTGGAAAACTTGCAGAAGCCTACAAGCTTGCCCTCTTCCATTCAAGTTATTCACATGAATATTACGGAATCCATTCTCATAATAAGGGCTCCATGAGATGACATTTTGTTGATTTCCCCCTATCATGGAGCCAGCCCAGATACCTGAGACTGTAACCCTATGCCAATAAGATTTCTGAGTTATCATGAGTGTAATGTAAGACTGTAATCCACATAATTGTTACTTGGAAGTTGCTTCCACCATAATTAACCAGTTAAATATTATCAGAAAGCAACTTGCTTAAATTCTTTGCAATCATTAAAATTATTTTACTTTGAAGAAAATGCAGAGTTCTTTGAATTAGCTTTGAAAAATGTAGAAGTGTTGCTTTTTTCCCCTTTCCCATCACTTTGCCCCCTTTCCTCTGGAATGAACCTGTCATTAAAGCCCTGAGAAATCGCAAAAATAAACAGGCAAATTCCACTCAGTTGGGAGTACAACTTATGTAAGCAGCATGTGAAAGTTCTGTTTACAGAAGTTCATTAGGTCAAGGATCCCAGTCTTCAAACCCAAAACAAATTACCTCCCAACTTTTATAAACAAATTGCATGTAGCACATTAATCAGCAAATCAACAGGTTCTCAAGGGTTTTTAGTTAATTCAATCATCAAGACACTTTAGCTAAGGGGGAAAAAAAAAGATTGAATAAAATATTATACTTTCTGATTGCTTCAACAAAGAAAATACAAACATTGCCTTGGTGTACTGTAATCATTAAACAGCTGCACATGGGAAGGAATCCTGATTGTTAACAACAGCAAAAGAAAACGGGAAAATGTTGACAGCCAAAGAACAAGGAGACAAAAATAAATCTTCTCCTACCTGGAAGACATTTTTTTTGCTAGACTTCTCCTTAGTCCATTCAATATGAGCTCCACACAAGTCCAGCCATTCAGATTTGGACCCTTTCTATCAAGAAATAATGGTGAAAATGAAATGACTGTTGTTTCAAAAGATGTTCATCTCAGATTAATTGAGAATTGATCAAATCCATCTGGGCCACCAGCTGTCCATATTGAATGTCCCTCTTCAAATTTTCATGCACATTCTTATGACCTCATTCTTAATACAGGTTGCCCAACTCATAAACTATTATAAAAAAGAGTCCTCCAAAATACTTGCTAGTAGCTCCTAGGAAACTGAAATATCTACTTTAGCTTTATTGTTACCAAACCCCCCATAAATAATGTAGTTTTAGGGAAAGACAACTCCATCTTGGGAAAAAATACAAAGTTAACTTCATTTTATAGAAACTCAAGCAAACAGAGCTCAGGTTGATCTCTGCAAATGTTGTTTGACTAAGCTTTTTTTTTTTCCTGAATGCCTCTTTCTCTGTCAATGTTTGTACAACTGAAGGTCTTGCTTGTGGGGTAAATGATCATGAGTTAAGTTTGTTGTAACTCAACCAAAGCCTAAAGCCTCTAAGTATAAGCAGTCATCTTAACTATAGGTAGTTTCCAGTTTAAGAACGAGTTCCGTTCCCAAGGCCCACCCTTAACTCGAATTTGTATGTAAGCCAGAACAGTATTACTGTATAATGCTATATAAGTAGTATTGTGTAATGAACTCGAACCATTGCATATTTAACTCAAATCATTGTGCATTTAACTCAAATTTTGCTACAATAGGCTCTGTTCTTAACTGTGGGTCATCTGTAACTGGGGCATTCTTAACCCAGAGACTACCTATACAGGCTTCTTCCCAAACAGTCCTTCCTGCAGCTCTTAATTCTCTGTTTCTCACATACTGGAATTAATTGAGCCAGATGTAAGTAATAACATTTCTAACACCTACATACTTACCAGTCAGACTATTCCCTTTTGGAATAAGCAGTGTTAGGAAGAGTACAAAACAAAAGTAAGAAATAGTAAGCCAAAAAAATTAAAGGTTAGGAAATAAGAGAAAAACAAAAGGAAATATAGCTAAATCTACTTTGTCCCAACACTCTTCACTATAGCTCTCCATGTCTTTCTGTTCTTGAAAAACATTTGTGCTTCCACCACTCCATATACTTCTTTACCCTTTAAACCTCTCATCCCTTTCTTCTTGAAGATCTCAAGAATTCCATTCAATCACAACTTTCTAAATCTTCCTCTTCCACTCAAACTATTCCTATATTTGTATTGTCGAAGGCTTTCACGGCCGGCATACGATGGCTGGTGTGGGTCTTCTGGGCT